TTAATAAATTTAGTGTAGACTGCCAGGCGATCACTCAGTCAGTGACTCACCCACAACCCACAACTTCCAGGCCTCCATACTCCACTGATGATAAGTACCCTGTATAAGTGTACCACTTTTTATCTTTTATGCAGAATTTTTCTATGTTTAGACACACAAGTACTTAACACTTACCTACAGCCTTCAGTACAGTAACATGCTATACAGGTTTGTGGCCTAGAAGTGATAAGTTAATAACCTAGATATGTAGTAGGCTAATCCATTTGTTTGTATGAGTGCAGGTACCCTATGATGTTCACACAATGGCAAAATCACTCAAAGATAAATTTCTCAGAATGTGTCCCCAACATTAAGCAATGCATGACTGAATTTAGCAACTAATGTGGTTAACTGATCTGTTGAGTAAGGACCATTATGATAGGAAGGGCCAAGTGGATTCCCCTCTCTATGAGGACAGCAAACCAGAAGTAAACTGCATACTAATGTGTTATGGGTTGAATTGTGCCCCCTACCCAAAATTCATATGTTGAAGCTCCAACATATGAAGCACCTTCAATAGGCCTTAAAGGAGATAGTCAAGGTTAAATGAGATAATAAGCATGGGACCCTAATTCAATAGGCCTGATACTTTTATAAGAAGAGGAAGAAACATCTGGAGTGTGTGTATAGAAGACAAGGCCATGTGAGGACACAGTGAGAAGTGTGCAAGCCAGACAGATACCTCTTCAGAAACCAAACCTGCTGGCACCTTGACCTTGGACTTCTGGTCTCCAAAACTGAGAAGCTGACTCATACATTAGGGAAGTTGCAGATAGTAGTGTCAGATCAGAAATGAAATAGCCAGGTACAGTGGTGCACGCGTGTTATCCCCGCTGCTCAAGAGGCTGAGCAAGAGGAGTGCAATTTTAGTCAGCTTTAGCAAATTAGTGAGACCCTGTCTCAAAATAAAAAATATTGGAATTGTAGCTCAGTGATAAAACATCTCTAGGTTCCCTGCATGGATGGTCTGTAGACAAGGCAACTGGATTATGGAGAATGACTATGAATTATCATAAATTTAATCAGATAATGCCTCCAATTACGGCTGCTGTTTCAGGTGCAGTAGTTCTCCTGGCATCTGGATTCAGCTATTGACCTGGCAATTGATGTTTTCCTCTGTATAATTTGTAAGAAACACAAGAAGTTTGCTTTTACCTAGCAGGGCCTGAAGTACACTTCACAGTGTATCAAGACTATATAAAGTCTTCTGTTCCCTGTCATAAAGTAGGAGAGAGAGAGAGAGAGAGAGAGAGAGAGAGGGAGAGAACACACTGGGGGTCAAACCCAATAACACAGACTAGTCAATCCTTGTACATGCTAGACAAGTGCTCTAACACTGAGCTACACTCCCAGCCTCTAGTCCACAGAGATCTTGATCATTTTGGTCTTGTACATAATATCACTCCATTGAGGACATTTTGCTGCTTGGGTATGACAAACTGGAATTAGCAATGACTTAAAGACACTTTAGTAAAACATGAGAAATAAAGAGTTGGAAAACAAACACCATAAAAATTCATAGGGCTATGACTTCAGAGTAGTGTCTGGTGGTCCAACATGCTAAAAGCCCAGCTATAGTACAAGCTGCTCTTCACTTGGACCTTACAAATCAGGAGATTCAATGACATTCAGGCTTTGTCAAACAGGGATGTTACATGGAGTCACCAATAGGTGAATCACAACACAGACTTCTAGGACCTTGAAGTAAATCCACACCATTTTCTCCAAATTACCATTCTCTTCGTGCTTCTGGGCTCTGGTACAGGCTGAAGGCCTAATCACAGGATATCAAGTAGCCATAAGACCTGAGTGTCCAATCAGGAGTTAGTTGATATATCTTGTCCACTAAGCCATGAGTGAGGTTGGGCGTCCACAGCAGTCATCTCTCTTCAGTTGAAAATGGTATATAGGAAATAAGCCTCAGGCACATCTGGAAGAGGGAGGCATGAGTTAGTTGAATGAACAGGTAATTTTCCTTTGACCCCACCTCCCACTGTACTGCCTCCTCCTGGGGAGTTCCTTATGACTACAGCCTGGTTTACAGATGGCTCTGCACCATATGTTGGCACCACATGAAAGTAGATGGCTGACACATCACAGCTCCACTCAGGGGTGGCCCTGAAGGACAGTGGTGAACTCCCATTGAAGATCCAGATCCTTCAGAAAAGAAGATTTGGATCCCCCTGCTAGGTACAGAACTCTAAAACAGCTGAGATCCCAGCAGAAGGCAAAGGAAATATAAAAAGAAGATTAGAAAAACAAAGCTATAAATATCAACCATGGCCTTGTGACCAATTTCAGAAATAAGAACTGTTAAAGCAATGCATATTTTCTTCCATTTGTTATGTGGTATATATGATTACAACTTATAAATACTATAATAATAATTATAAGTGTAATTATAATTTATAATTACATATATAAATAAATTATCTATATACTTTTTCTTCTTTTTCTTCCTATTATTTTATACAAATTTTCTTCAAATTCTGATACAACTTAGTTTTCAGGTAACATAATTTTCAGGAAGAAACGTGACTGGTTTTGAGGAATTATTTACACACCCCAGATATAGATACAGTGATTATTAGGATTTGCATCTCTTTGTTTTAGGGAGTGGTTGAGAACATATTTGTACAAAATATAATTGCAGCTTGTTAAGTAGAAAAATAGAGTTGTCTTGTTGTATGGAAGTTTAAAACTAGAGACAAGTGCATATGGATACCGAGTAGCCACAGAGGCGGACTGTGTCTGATATTAAATTATTGTCTGTCAGGCTGGGGATGTGGCTCAAGTGGTAGCACGCTAGCCTGGCATGCGTGCGGCCCGGGTTCGATCCTCAGCACCACATACAAAACAAAGATGTTGTGTCCGCCGAAAAACTGAAAAATAAATATTAAAAAAAAATTCTAAAAAATAAATAAATAAATTATTGTCTGTCTGCTCCAAACCAGCCTGTCTATACTTGGCTTTGAAAGCCTGGAACTGGGACTCTGCAAACCACATTTCTCCTTTACCAACTGATCTGTGTTTGGTTTTGCCTGTTGGGAGCACTAGGGAAAGACTACACAGCTCTCTCTTTCAACAAATATTTTGTTATAGCATCACAGAACTCTCCAGCCATCCAGCCTATTAGATTTGTTTCCATGTAGCCCACTGGATCATTAATGCTGTGCTATCTGTTTTTGCTTTTATTATACCAGCATTTCATTCCTGGTACCAAATTTTGTACTCATAAGGGTCAGCTAGCTGGGTAGGGTAATCCCAGCAACTCAGGAGTCTGAGGCAGGAGAATCACAAGTTTGACATCAACGTGGGCAACTTGGTAAGACTCTGTCTCAAAATTAAAAAAAAAAAAAAAAAAAACTAATAAGGGCTAGTGGTATAGCTGTGGTAAAGCACCCCTGGGTTCAATCCTAGTACCACAAAAACGGGGGTTAGCTAATTGTTATAGCAAACAGCTTCCCAAATTCAGTGGCTTATACAACAAAAGTCTATTTTTTGCTTACCTCAGAGTTCAATAGTCATGTAGGGAGAGCTCTGCTCTCCACAATTATGCAGAACCCAGGTTCTTTTCATCTTGTGGTTCCACCCTCTTCTAGGTTCTTGGAGTCTTTCCCATTCTACTAGCAGAAGGGAAGGAAGGCAAGAATCAGCACACGGAAGTTTTATGGGCCAGGCTGGGAGTAGAACCTACCACCTCCAGAATTCTGTCACATGGCCACACCTATTGGTGACAGTGGCTGGGAACTGTGGGTATTGATGAGAAGTAGTAGTTTTTAATTATAACAAATGGGTCACTGGTAACATTCAAAGTAGAAATTTTTGAGGAGTGATGTAGACAGAGACCATATTGTAAAAAGTTCAGAAATGACAAAAAAAGTGGCAGCTATTTTTTTTTTCTTTACTCTTTTTTTTTTTTTGTTGTTCTGGGGATTAAACTCAGTGCAGTGCCTTGTGCATTCTAGACAAGGAGTCTACCACTGAATTATACCACCAGACCCACATCCTTTTTTTTTTTTTTAATATTTATTTCTTTTAGTTATTGGTGGACACAACATCTTTGTTTGTATGTGGTGCTGAGGATAGAACCCGGGCCGCACGCACGCCAGGTGAGCGCGCTACCGCTTGAGCCACATCCCCAGCCCTCCTCTAGGTTTTAGAGTAACTCCAGAATGATGGACACTGCACTGGGTTGCACCTGGATTGGAACCCTGTGAGACTCCAAGCAAAGGATTTAGCTCTACTGGTTCTGGGTTCCTGACCTGGGATCCATGAGAAATAGGTGTGTTTTTTAACTTTGTGGTAATTTGTTCCGTAGCAATAGAACACGAATATATCCAGAATTCCTTAAAAAAACAAAAACAAAAACAAAAACAAAAAAAACCACGGAGGCCCTCAGGCATGACCCCTGCATTACGGGCTGGGCTATACCTAGGAACCTCTGGTCTGGGCCCAGGACAGCTGGGTGAGGGAGACCAGAAGGTGGGCCCTTTGGGCATTTGAACTTTGGATGTGTCCCCGACTCCCAAAGATGCCTGCCTCCAGAATGCCTTCCAGTCAGTCCTCAGGGATGTGCAAAGCCTGGCCCGGGAATTATAAATTGGGCCACCACCTGAATCTCGGCTCTTGGCACAGTGCCTGGCACACAGTGGGCTCCTAAAAAACGGTTTGCTTGCAAAAGAGAAAGCGCCCTTGAGAGCGCATCTGCTGATGGCTCCTGGTGTAGAACTGCAGGGGGGGGGGAGCGGCGCAGGGGGCGCAGGGACTCGCTGGGGTCCTGCTGTGGGCCGGGACCGCCTCGGCCGCGCCATCCCGGGCCCCGGCGGAGAGGGCGCTGCGGCGGGAGGCCGCGGCGGTAGCAGCGGCGGCGGGCCGGGGGCGGGGCGGCGGCGGGGCCGCCCCCAGCGAGCCAGCGAGCGAGTGAGCGAGCGCCGCGCGCGCGCGCGCGCGCCGCCGCCGCCACCTCCGCTGCTCGCCCCGGTCCCGGAGCGGTCCGGCCGGCCCGCGGGGCACAGAGCCGAGGCCCGCGGCCGGCCGCATGAAGGACTGCGAGTACCAGCAGATCAGCCCCGGGGCTGCCCCGCCGCCCGCCTCCCCCGGGGCGCGCCGCCCCGGCCCCGCCGCGCCCCCCGCTCCGGGACCCGGGCCCGCGCCCGCCGCTCCGCGCTGGAGCGGCAGCGGCAGCGGGAGCTTGGGCCGCCGCCCGCGGCGCAAGTGGGAGGTGTTCCCGGGCCGCAACCGCTTCTACTGCGGCGGCCGCCTCATGCTGGCGGGTCACGGCGGCGTCTTTGCGCTCACGCTGCTGCTCATCCTCAGCACCACGGTCCTCTTCTTCGTCTTCGAGTGAGTTCTCGGCGCTCGCCGCGTCCCCATCGCCGGCCGCGCGCCTCTTGCTCCCCTTGCCTGGGCACCCACCTGCACGGCCCCTCCGGGCACTCGCCCTCTCAGCCCTGAGCCCGCCCGCAGCCGCCTGCTCCTCTCCGGTCTGTCCTGAGGCCTCCCCTGGCTCCCGACTCATCTCCTGTTTGCCCGCCCTGGACCCCTCCACCCTTGCCAGCCACTCTGTCCTCGGCCTCTCTGCTTTGGTTCCCTGCCTTTGCCGGCCTCTGAAGGAACACCACCCTCCAGTGTCCCTTCACACTGCCCCCCCCCCCAGTCTCCCAGAACCAGCCCCCCAGGCCTCCTCGGTTCCTTAGGTAGAGCCCTCCTGCTCTCTCATCCCTGGACCATCTCTTGCACGTCCCACACTCTTTCTGACCCCTCAAGGCATCTTTTCTTTCTGAGCCTTCCAGACAACTTCTAAATTTCTATGTCCTTTGGCTATGTACATACCATCCTGAATTTCCTAGCATCTTCTTGCTCCCTCCAGGTCATCCCAGAGTCTCCTTTCAGACCCCTCCCGTTTTTGCTTTCCCTGTCATGCTCACTGTGGATCCCAAGGCATCCTCCCATAAACATCTTGGGGCCTCTCTGGCTGCCTCTTCCTTCTTCCCTTAGCTTCCTCAGAGCTTCCTGTCCTTCCCTTAGTCCCCTGATCCCCCCAGATGTCTTCCAGGTCCCTGCCCCCATTCCTGACCTCATGGCTTTTTTCCCCTTCTTACCATTCTGGAGCATTCCTCTGGCCTGTTCCACATCAGGAATAGCTATGTGCCTTGTTATTTCTTAAAGAAAGGATCCAGAGTGCTTTGGTATGACAGGTCCTTTTTGCCCCATGGGTTTTTTACTCCTTTGTCTCTCCAGTGACCCTGGATTGTCCCACACAGGATATCTGTTTTGTGGATGAAGGAGTGGGTACTTATAACCTTACCAGGACCACATTGGTGATCAGAAGTTTCCACCCTACCTCTCTAGCTGGAGCCACCTGCCACATAATTCCTTGCACAGAATCCCAGGCATCCACACCCACCCCATGAGCCCCACCTTCCCCTCCTGGCTCTCATCTCTTGTGGTCCTCTTGTGGTGTGGTTGAGAACTCTGTCTCTGGGGCCAACAGCTTCACCTCACACTAATTTTGTGACCTCAGGGCAGTAACTCCAATTTTCAGACCCCCTGCTTCCTCATCTGTAAAATGGGGTCTTTAATAGTACCTACCCCCCAGGTGATCATGAGATTGGCCTGCTGGCTTTTAGCCCAGTAACACTAACCTGATGTTGGCTGCTGTTAGTACTTGTTGTCTTCACCAGAAAAACACTTAACAAGGGCATGTGGCCATAGCAAGGCTGTCACAAAGATACCAGCTCCCAGGTCCCTTTCCAGTTGCTAGATCATGTAACTGCAACCTCAGATTGCCCCTTGAAGCAAGGTGAAGACTTCCTATAAATTGGCTTCTTCTTTTCATCCACTAAACACTCTGCTCTTTCTTTGTCTTTGTGGAAAAAAAAGTTCAGGGATGATTTAGAAAGAAGCTCTGGATTCCCAGCCCACAGGGAAGCCCCTGGGCTGAATTTCAGACCTGGTTTTCCAGACCAGACCTGTGGATGCTATGAAAGTGCCTCCTCCAGGAGCCCCAGGCTGTGCTCAGTCTCTTGCCCAGGCAGGAGGAAGCAGTGCTTGCAGTGGTTGGCCCTGTGACCTACAGTGTGAGATTCAGTCAGTTCAGAAGCAGGACGGTTGCTGGCTGAGTGAGTAGCTTTGCTGGTGACTTATTTGTCCCTTGCTAGGGAGAAAACAAGGACTTCCAGGCTCAGAGAACACTTGTGAATCATCTTGGCTTTTGTCTTTGCTTGTCCTTGTCCTCACTTGAAGTGGTAGATTTGGCAGCAGGGTTTGGTGAGGTCCCTGAGCTCACCTGGGTCTGGACCAGAGTGAAATCTCAGTAAGAACCTGGAGTGGCGGAAGTGCCTTTAGTGAGGACAGGGAGCACGGAGATGCTCAGACACCCCCATTGCTCTGGGAAAAGATACAGGTGGCCATCTGGGGCCTTTTCTGCAGTGAATGGTTTTGCTTCCTTGTTTGGTTTGGTGGATTGTTGCGCAGGCCTCCTGGCTTCTGCCTACTTCCCACCCACCCCCACCACTGTAGCAGGAGTGTCCCTTTGATTCCAAGTCAGATCTCAGTCCTCCTGGTTCTCTGGGTAGGAGCCAGAGCTCTGGTCCCTGCTTCCCTTCTGTCTGCTTCTGCCCCATTGCCCTGGTGTGCATTCCCATCCAGGCAGGTTGGCCTACTTGCACACTCCTACCTCGGGGCCTTCTCACCGCTCAGAGTGTCCTTCCTTCACGTAGCCTCGTGCCTCACTCTTCCTTTTCCACACCCTTCCCTGACATCCATGCTGCATGCATACTTGTTTGGTAGTTTCTTGCCTGCCTTTGTATATGAGAGCAGGGTATTGTTCTCCTCACTGTTGTATCCTTAGTCCCTAGAACCAGTGCCTGTATATTGCAAGTACTAAATACAGCAACTACTGGTTGAAAGAATGAATGAGCAAATCATTTTTTGGGAGCCCAGAGACTTTGGCCAGCTAGGTGAACTTAAATCTAGCTGTGGGCCCAGGAGTTCCCCTCTGGAAAATCAAGAAACTAGGACTTAGTGTTTCTTTTTCTTTCTTTTTTTTTTTTAAGAGAGAGTGAGAGAGAGAGAGAGAATTTTTTAATATTTATTTTTTAGTTCTCGGCGGACACAACATCTTTGTTTGTATGTGGTGCTGAGGATCGAACCCGGGCCGCACGCATGCCAGGCGAGCACGCTACCGCTTGAGCCACATCCCCAGCCCGGACTTAGTGTTTCTTGAAGGTTCTACAAGTCTCAGAGTTCAAATATTCTCCGTTCTCCAGAGAAGTCTGGTTGTGCATGAACTGGACGAGTTGCCATGTGGGTGACCCTGAGCTCCCAGCTGGTTCTTTTTGAGAATCAGATCTGGGAGCACTGAGATTTGTGGAGTAGAGCATGGGCCCCTAGGAGTTCTTGTCCTTGGCAGTCTCTGCTCCTCAGGGGAAAGGCCTCTGTGGAAGCCATAGCACCTGATGCTAGAGGCTTCAGAAGCAGTGTGTAGATGCCCACAGGTTTGCTCCCGGCCTCTGTACTGGCTCCTGGCCTCTTGGCTGTTCTCAAGCCTCCAGCCTCCAGTCATTTCCAAATAGCTGCTTCCTACTCCATTAGTCCACTCTGTCTCTAGGAGGGAAAGCAGCATATGACAGTGATTAATATAGTGTAGACCTCAAAGTCAGATCTGGCTTGAGTCCCCCCTCACCTCAGACAAGTTACCTAAGTTCTCTGAGCTTTAGTTTCCTCATCTATAAATTAAGAAGCATAATTTCAGAGGGTCTCTGTAAAGATGTTTGTTTGGTTGGTGCTAGGGATTGAACCTTAAGGGTACTCTGACTGAACTACATCCCCAACTCATTTTTTTTATTTTAAGACAATATCTTGCTAAATTGCTGAGACTGGCCTTGAACTTATGATCCCCCTGCCTCAGCCTCCTGGGTCATTGGGATTACAGGCATGTGCCACTGTACCTAGCTCTACTATAAAGATTTATGGCACATAGTAATTGTTAGTACTTAAGATATTATTAATAATAATTTATGAATTAAGGCCGTAAATGGCACATAAAATGCCGTCGAAGAAGACAGCTATTTCTGACCTCTTGCCAGAGGGGAACACTATTCATTCATTTTTGGAAGATATATACTGAGCACCTTCTTGGTACCAGGTGCTGGCAGGGTGCTAGGGGATGTTAGGTGAACAGGGGATCACAGTCTGTCGTCTCATAGGGGATTGTGTCCCAGCAGGGAACAGGCAGTTAACACATCAGCAGACAATTAATATTTTTAATTTTATGCAAGAAATAAAGAGTATGGGAAGGGCTGCTTTATACAGAATTTGTCATGGATGGTCCTTCTGAGGAAGGAAGAGCATTCCAGAAAAAGGAACAGCAAATGCAAAAGCTCTGATGTAGGAAAGAGCCAGGTTTGTTTTAGGGGCTATCCTGAAGCAATTGTAACAGGATTCATGGGGGCAAGGAGAATTTCATGGAATGAGGCTGGAGAAACCTTCAGTAGGAACCTTCCTGAATTCAGTAGGGTCTGGACCATGCTTGGCCTATGAGGCTGTGGTAGGGAGTTTGGATTATATTCAAAATGTAACGACATGGTATAATCCCAGCAACTCAGGAGGCTGGGGCAGTAGGATCTCAAGTTCAAGGTCAGCCTCAGCAACTTAGCGAGACCCCGTTTTAAACTAAAAAGTAAAAAGGACAGGAATGTGGCTCAGTAATAAAGCACCCCTGGGTTTAATCCCAATACTACCAAAAAAAAAAAAAAGGATGGAAGATGGGTCTGAGAGAGGGATGGGGGCCTGTGGTAGGCTGCCCACCTGCCTGGTAGAGGAGGACACATGTTCATCCAGCAGCCTCACAGGGCCTGAGCTTTCTTTTGGCTGTTCTCTGAGCCACCTAGGGTTAGGGGTCCTGGCACATTCCTGTGGAGTTATCATGCCTTAGGTGACCGTGGCCATGACTGACCGTGCTGTTGCCCCCAACCCTCTACTCATTCTGGTTTTAGCTTCGGTGTTTCTCCTTCAGGGGGCCTCATGGGCTAGGGACTCTTGTCATATTTATGGCCATTATTCCTGCTGCTTATTAAAAGTGTTGCCTGGCTCAAAGAAGAATATTTGGGGAGTGAGTGACAAGGTGAATGAATAAACAAACATGGCCATGGGTGGTTTATCGTGATAGTTCACTTAATTCTTAGTACTGCCTGGAGCCCTGTGTTTCAGAGGATCCTGAGGCTGCAGCTAAGCACTGGGGTTAAGAGTGCTGGGATATGAGCTTGGTACAGTGGCACAACTGTAGACTCAGCACCTACAATGGGGGCATCACTTGAGCCTAGCAAGGAGTTCAAGGCCAGCCTGGGCAATGCAGTGAGACCCTGTTTCAGTGTGTGGGGGGGAATGGCACTGGGATCTATTGATCACTTTGCCATGAGCTCAGCGGCGACCTACAAGGCTAGATAAGGGATGCTTATTATGGGCACTTATATGGGAGTGGCTGCACTCACCCAGAAGCTATGCCTCAGCCTCAGCTTTATTCAAAAATGTGATACCTAGTGCCCCAGCGAGTCCTTGGGGTATCTGCTGATCTCTCTCTCCATCTCTCTTTCTAGCTGCCCCTACCTGGCTCGCAAACTGACCCTGGCAATCCCCATCATCGCTGCCATCCTCTTCTTCTTCGTCATGAGCTGCCTGCTGCAAACAAGTTTCACCGACCCTGGGATCCTGCCCCGGGCCACTGTCTGTGAAGCAGCTGCTCTGGAGAAACAGATTGGTGAGGCTCATTTATACTCCCAGCTGAAGCTGTGTCTTTCCCAGTTCCAAGTTCCTGGACTTGGGAGGAGGCCCAATTTTTCTCTTCTAACACTTTGCTAGGAACTGGGTTACAGTAGTGAGCAAGGCAGGCCGGAGTGGACGCTGGAGTGGTGGGAGCCAGATGATAAACAAGCAAGAAATGCTAGCCAGGGCTGGGGATGTGGCTCAGTGGCAGAGCACTCGCCTGGCATGTGAGGCCCTGCATTCCATCCCCAGTACCAGACCAAAAAAAAAAAAGAAGAAAGAAATACTAGCTAAGCTGGGTATGGTAGTACACATCTGTAATGCCAGTGACTTGAGAGGCTGAAGCAGGAGGATCACATTCAAGGTCAGCCTCAGCAATTTAGTAAGGCCCTTAGCAAAATGCCATCTCAAAAATAAAAAATAAAAAGGGCTGGGGATATGGCTCAGTAGTTAATTGCCCCTGGGTTCAACTCCCAGTACCAAAAACAAATGAACAAACAATAACAAAAGAACTAGCCAAGAAAAGACTGTATTGGCAGTCAGCATGGCACTGAGTGCTGACTCAGGGTCAGGCACTATTTTAACCTTTTCATAGGCATGATCTTATTGAACCCATTAATCCTATGAAATGTACCATTGTTATTCTCTTTTTACTGATTGATTAAATTGAGGCACAGATAAAGTAAGTAAATAGTCCAGGATCACACAGTAAATGAAAGAGTTGCACTGAGACCCCAGGCAGTCTGGCTACAGCCCTCCTCTTAAACATTCATAAATAAGGGGCTGGGGATGTGGCTCAAGTGGTAGCGCGCTCGCCTGGCATGCGTGCGGCCCAGGTTTGATCCTCAGCACCACATACAAAACAAAGATGTTGTATCCGCCGATAACTAAAAAATAAATATTAAAATTCTCTTTCTCTCTCTCCTCTCTCACTCTCTCTTTAAAAAAAAATTCATAAATAAATTCATTTATTCATCAAACATTTATTGAGCAACTGCTATGTGCTAGGCACTTTTCTAGATGCTGGTGATAGAGTAGCAGTGAACAAAACTAACATTAATCCTTGTCCTCATGGAGATGATATTCCAGGGGAGGAGAGAGACAGTAAACAAATAATTAAATGTCTAGGATTCAGACAGAAAGAGGAGGGAGAGAGGATGAGAGCTGCGGAAGGGCATAGGGTTTTAAACAATGTGGTTAGGGGAGGTCCTGTGAAGGAGGTGATATCTGAGCAGAGGCATGAGCCTGTAGAGATGAGGGCCTGGGGAAGGGACAGCAGAGGGACACAGTAGACATGGGCTTGGGCTGATTTAGATCGGGTGGTCAGGAGCCCTCTAAGAGATGGGCCCCATATGATGTGATAGAAATACGAGGATCTTCAAACAGTAAAGGGAGAATCCCAGGATGGTGAACAAACTGGGTGGATGTGAGGGACAGCAGGTGCCTTGTGTGGCCCTTGACTCCTTTTAGCCTGCTCTGCAAGTTCCCCTGGACCGCTAGGCTCTGGGGACAGGGCCTTAATCTCAGCTTGCTCCACCCTAGCTCCTTCCTGTCGAGAAGTGACGTGAGGTGTGCACACCTCGGGGGTTTCCGGTTGATGGCTGGTTCCTTCCCCTGACAGGCTTTTAAATGCCCAGCTGGCCCTGAAGAGATCTAGTGGCCTGTAAATGTCAGAGCCCTGCTGTGTCCATCACTGGAAGTAATTTCACTAATTCTCCAGAGCAGCTTGGGAGGGACCAGCGGGGTGCTCTCTCCAGTTTTGTGGGTTCTGTCTCATTCCTTTGCCAAGCCTGTTCACAGCCACACCCAGGGCCGCTGCCTGACTGTCGTCTCCATCCAGCTTCCTTCCCTTTGTACCCCCGGCCACTGGCCACACGGCCTCCCAGGTGCAGCCTCTTTAGTATCACTGGGTCTGACCTGGGCTGGTGCACCTGGCAGCCAAGGACGCCCAGCACCTGGTTTCTCCTCCCCTGCAGGTCAGGGCTAATCATAAGGCAGGATTATGGTCCTGCTCAGCCAGACTCTGAGATCTGGCAGCCTGGAAATCCTCTGACCTCTTGTGAGCTACTTGGGTGATAATGACAACAGTAATCCCCATGTTTGGGGAGAGCGTGACCATTTGCTCAGTGCCTTCCCTCCATTATCCCCACAGTTCTTCACAACATCCGATGATGAAGGCGACCCTGTAGGCCTCGCAGACACTGAGTTGGTGGTCACAAGGCGTAGGGTGAAGGAACAGAGATGGAGTGTGTCCTCACCCCCAAACCCTTTGCTTTGTCTTCTGACGTGGCCGTGGGGACACAGTCCCTCTGTCCTTCTGTCTGCACTCTGGGACCTACCTGAGCCAGGCCATCCATGACCTTCCCGTGTGCATTCTCCTTTCTTTTCTCCCCTGTGCTGCGAGGTTGTCATTATGGAGTTGCCCTGGCTGTGAGATACACAAGTATCTTGTTCACCTTGTCATGTGGAAGGGTCAGTGATGGAGGCTGACAGGATGGATGAACCACTAAGAATGAACCTCCGTGAAGATGCTCCCTGCTGCCCGTGGGGCTGTCAGGAGACGGTTGGCATGTCCCATGGAGGCACTGTGGGTTCTTGCCTTTGTGTGTGAGTTCCTGTGCTGCCTCCTTACCGCAGAGGGGCGAGGAGTCTGAGTGGTTTCTGGTCTAGGTCAGCACACTGTGGAAGGCCTGCCCACCACAGGCCAGGCCAGGCCAGGCTTTGGGAGAGGAATGCAGGGACTGGAAGTGTCTTCCACATGAAAGACTTGGAGAGGCTTCCTAGAGAGGTGACAGTTGAGTCAAGCCATGAAGTTTGGGTGGGATTCAAGCACAGGAAGACGGAAGGGCGGGGCCAGGAAGATGGACTAGAGAGAGGACAGGAGTGGGAAGGAGGAGGGACAGGCCTGGGGCTGCTGAGCAGGCCGAGTTGACTGGAGCACGCGGAACACCACAGCAAGGAAGGGAACAGTGTAGGGGACAGTGGATCAGCCTCACAGGGCCAGAGATTTCTTTTGAGATCAGTCGTCAAGTCTGAAAGCGACATCTTTGGGACCTTTGAATCCTTAAGCTACAACTGAAGCCAGATTTTGGGGTGTGGCCAGGAGGCTTCTGATCAAAGTGGAAATGTTTTCTTGGTAAGGACTAAGTCTGTGGGACTTTTCTGAGAGGGTGAAGGTCTACTCTGAGGTGGTGGTCATAGAAACACGCACTGATTCCTGGTCCTAGGCTCATGCAGACAGTGCAGACTTCTCCTTTCACCCTCTCCCAAACTGGAGATTGAATTTGGGGGCCCTTTACCCCTGAGCTACTCTCCAGCTCCCCCCACCCCTTTTAAATTTTTTTTTTCAGTTGTCAATGAACCTTTATTTTATTTATTTATATGTGGTGCTGAGAATCAAACCCAGGGCCTCACATATGCCAGGCAAGTGCTCTACCACTGAGCTGCAACTCCAGCCCCTCCAGCCCATTTTTATTTACTTTTTTGGTTTTTTTTTTGCAGTACTGGGACTTGAACTCAAGGGCACTCCATGACTGAGCTACATTGCCAGCCCTTTTTACATTTTATTTCAAGATGGGATCTCGCTAAGTTGCTTAGGGCCTTGTTAAGGGCCTCAACTGAGGCTGGCTGGTCTCCAACTTCCTGCCTCAGTCTCCCAAATTGCTGGATTACAGGTGTGCACCACTGTGCCTTGCAATAATATAAGGTGTTTTCCTAGGGGTGTTTAACCACTGAGCCATGCCCCCAGCCTTTTTTTTTTTTTTTAATTTTGAGACAGGGGACAGGGCCTCACTAAGTTGCTGAGGGCCTCACTAAGTTGCTGAGGTTTGCTTTGAATTTGGGATCCTCGGGGCTGGGGATGTGGCTCAAGTGCTAGCGCGCTCGCCTGGCATGCGTGCGGCCCAGGTTCGATCCTCAGCACCACATACAAACAAAGATGTTGTGTCCGCCGATACTTGAAAAATAAATATTAAAAAATTCTCTCTCTCTCTCTTTAAAAAAAAACAAAAAAAACCACACCAGGTTAAGAGGCCCACAAACTGACCTGGTGATAGGCAACCATAGGGATTATGATTGACTTTTTTAAAAATAAAAAGAATTTGGGATCCTCTGCCTAGCCTCCTGAGCCATAGGAATTACAGGTGTGTGCTACCATGTCCAGTTAGTATAAGGTTCTTAATTCTGCCCCAGAGGCCAGGAGCTTCAGTCCTGTAGATGTCCAAGGTGCCTGTGCAGCAGGGTGACCAGCTCCTTCCAGTTTTCCTAGGACTGCTGTGTCCTAGCACCAGAGGTCTAAATCATCCCAGGCAAACCAGGGCAGCTGGTCACCCTGATCTGAGATCGGGACTTGTCACCTGGTGCCCATGTAGCTGGATCAGCCTGCGGGCTCTGGGCAGTTGGAAGAGGTAGAGTGTGGGAATAATACTCCTGAGAAGCTTCTGATCTGATGAGAAATAACAGAGACATCTGCATTTGAGGGACAGATGCACACCTAGACCCAGCTAGACCCAGGTGCACTCATGGGACAGATGCAGTCTTTCCCGTGTGCTCCTATGTGCCAGCTCACAGACCATCAGGTCCTTCTCTCCACCGGGTCCTGAAGGCCGCTTCCTGGGGCAGACCCGCCTCACCTTCCTCCTGGCTTGACTCAGGCTCTGCTGGCCAGGCCCCCAATCCTGGTCTTCAGTTGCAGTTGTTTCTCCGAGACCCAAATCTGTCCCTGGTCCTCCTAGACTGGGAACTTGGGTGATTCCCGGAGCCCTCGGTGCTGTTTCCATCTGTCATGAAGTTCATGTCTCTTGCCCTTCCCATATCCATATGTACCTTCATTTCCCTGGTATTTTCCTTTAAATATAATCACTGCATTCTGTCATTTTGGCCAATGACATACTCCATAAAGGACTGTAGTCCCATAAGGTCCTATCACCTAGTGGCATCATAGTCCTCTTTGTTTGTGTAAGTACACGCTACTGTTCACACAATGAGGAAATCACA